GGAAAGAGTTCACAGACTTCAATCTCAAGTCGCCGCCTTTGAAATGCATCCGTATCTCCGGCAGGATGACGTCATTCCCCGCCGCTCTGTAGCAGAGGCTGAGCCCCTTCTTCCCCATGTCCACCTTCTCCGCATTCATCACCTGCTCATGTACATATACATACAGATTTTACCAAAAAAAAAAAAAAACATTCCAGCTACATATATATGAATTAATATATAAGAGAATTACCTTATCAACCTCCGCCACCACTTGGTTATAGAAATCCATGGGAAGAAACGTCAACGTGGTTCCTGAGTCAATGTTCATATTGCCCTCGTTGGCGCCACCGTAAGCCGAGCCAGGAAACTCCAACCTTGTTCCATCCACGCTGACCGCTTCGAGCGTTAACTGATAGCGGTCGGAACCGGGTTTCTTGCTTAATGGAGTCGTGACCCCATACGGGCCAGGACCTGAAACGACCCCGAAACTGATAGAGCTCCGCCGATTCGAAAAGATCGGTGATAAGCAGTAAGAGAAAACGCCACTGATGGCGGGGCCGAGGTGAGAGACGAGAGAGCCTTCCCCCAAGTCAAGGCCAATGACCCCTGCCGATCCTGAGGCGTGGAGGGAGTTTTGGTAGCCGCAACCGAATATCACTGAAAGTATCTTGCTTGTACCGATCTTTATGGACTCGGTCGCTATGTTTCCCTGCGTGTAGGATCCGTCGACGAACGCTTCCTTGTACACACAAGCGCCGCCCTCTCCACAAGACGTGATGGGGGAGAGATCACTGCATTGAGTCCATGAACACTTGAGTAATCTGTAAGTGGCCGAAACTTTGGGATTGAAAAGAGGGTTTGGCTGACGGATGCACTTCGTGCACGGCTCGCATTGCGTCCATATGAGCGAGCTTCCGGTATCAGCAAACCCTAAAACGTCCACCGGAGGAGTTCCGATTCCAATCTTCATCATATACTCACCCCATCCATTCGACGTTAAATCCGCAGACATCGACGTCAAGCGTTCTTGGCGGCCGAAACTGCATGAACGGATCAATGAACGGTTCACTGCAGCCTCGAACCGTTCGCTCAGGGTTAGGTTGGGGTTGTAGAACGGTGACTTTGGCGAGTCACGATGGATTAACTCGGCCGTGAAACTGTCTTTTGCATGGGAAATAACAAGTAGGGACGTCGTTATCGACAACAAAAGAAGAAGGGACAACGACGATACAGAAGACATATTCTTCGGATGCGTGACTCTGTAAACACCAGTTGATGATGCGCTCTCTCTCTTTTTCTTTTTTCTTTTTGGCCGTGACCACATCCTTATATACATGTACATCTCTCTTATTCATATATTCGAATCGTATATATTCCGAATCGTATATCGATCAATATATATAAGTAATCATTATTGTATATATTCTTAATTGTATGTAAATCAACGTATTTGCCAAAAAAAAAGTCGTGAATATTCACTTGGGAGATACGATCGTATATGTTTTTTAATATATGGAAATATTTAAAGGTATGGACAAACGTATGTGTTTAGCAAATATATGTTTATAAACTAATCATTGTATATGTTTTTTGGATATACAATTAGGAATACATTCCTAATTTTTCCCCGCATAAGAATGCGGTGATTATTTCATTACCAAAAAAAAAAAAGAATGCGGTGATTACGAACTAACATGGGTTTCCAGAACTGAAACGTCCTGGGCCGGACACAAGGCCCAGATTCTAGACGAAGCGATAGATGCATGCAGGACCCAAAAATGATTATTAGTGGGGCAAATGTTAATACATAATCTCATTTTAAGAAAAAAAATATGACAAAAAGAGAGAAGGGGGACAATTTTTTTTTTTAGTGGGAGCATTTTAAGTTTGTTACTAAAAATTAATAAAATTACAAATAAATTAAGATATTGGATGGGGTCTAGGAACCACTCAGATATAAGTGGGTCCGCCCCTGGATGCATGTGTATAATATGAAAGACACTTTTAACTGCATTCTTGCTGTATGAAAGAGACTGTCGCTGCGTTGCGGTCATAACCAACCAAGAAGTCGGTCTGACCCATGTTCCCATATATCGACACACCCGCCGGAGATCCGATGAAGGAGAAGCACACAGTCTCCGGCGAAATTCTCGGGAAGGAGTTCGAAGGGCTCAGTTTCAAGTCGGCGCCTTTGAAATGCATCTGAATCTCCGGCAGGACGTCATTTCCCGGCGTTTTGTAGCAGAGGCTGAAACCCGTCTCCCCTACCGGCGCCTTCTCCACCTTTAACACCTGGTCATGTGGAAACACATATAAGTTGCATGTTTGTGTAGCAATGTAATATAACTTTGAGCAAAATTTTCCACCGTGCATACCAAAACATTACCTTATCGAGCTCAGCCACCACTTGGTTATAGAAACTCATGGGAAGAACCGTCAATGTGGTTCCTGAGTCAATCATCATGTTGCCCTCATTGGCGCCACCGTACGCCGAGCCCGGAAACGCCAACCTCGTCCCGGCGACGCTGATCGCTTCGAGCGTTAAGAAATAAGCGCTTGATTTGGATTTTCTGGTTATGGGTGTGGAGACCGCAGAGGGGCCGGAAACGACACCTTCGGAACCGAATTTGATTCGGCTGGGCCTGTCTGAATCGAACGGCGTTAAGCAGAAAGAGAAAATGCCGTTGATGACGGGGCCGAGCTGAGAAATGAGAGAAGCATCGCCATAGTCGAGACCTATGATCCCCGAACCTCTTACGTCGGGTCCGTTGTCGTGACCGACCCCGACTACCGCCGAAAGCAGAGCGTGTGAACCGATGGTGAGTGTCTCGGTCGCTAGATTTCCTATCGAGTACGTGCCGTCGAGGTACGTTTGTTTGTACATACAGGCGTCGCCACCACCACAAGACGAAATAGAGGAAAGAACTTTGCATTGGGTCCAAGAACAACCGATGTTTTTGTAAGAGGACGAACCTTTGGGATCGAAAAGAGGGTTTGGCTGGTCCTGGCACTTGGTGCATGGCTGACCCTGCGTCCATATAAGCGAGCTTCCAGTATCCGAAAACCCTAAAACTTCCACCGGAGGAGTTCCCATTCCGATCTTCATCAGATAATCGGTTGTTCCGCTCGAAGTTAAATCCGCATCCACCGTCAATAACCGTCCATGGCGGCTGAAACGGCGTGAACGGGTTAGTGAACGGTTCACAGCAGCCGCGAACCGTTCGGCCAGGGTTATGTTGGGGTTGTAGAACGGAGACTTTGGGGAGTCACGGTGGATTAACTCGAGGGTAAAACCGTCTTTAGGGTTTTCTGCATGGGAAACAATAATTAGGTACGTCGAGACCAAAGAAAGAAGAAGAGAGAACGATGCATAAGATATTTTAGTCATGGTGATTTCTGATACGTGACTCTACGAGTGGATGTTTCCCTTTTATAAGGTGAACCACGAGGATCTACAGATTTTATTGAATATCATAATTTCCCTTTTCATCAAAAAAAGAAAAAATATCTTAGAAGATCATAATTTTATTTGATTTTATACTTATATTTTAGGTACTTTATTAATTATACACAATACTTTCATAATCATCGCATATAATACAAAGATACGTCTTGAATATCAACTCTTTCGTAATTAATGCATTATTTTTTGCGTGTCATAAATAACACAAATTGCCTAATTTAGAATATTTTTACATTAATTTGCAGTCAAATGTGGACGGTGAATCATACGACTTCCCAAATACACACAGTTGTACATGGGACGTATTAGGTATTTCCATGCATATACCTAATATGCCCCATCATTGGAAAGTGTATATTCCAAATAAGTCGATCCAATATAAATTACAAACAAAAAATATTACAAAATTGACTACCATATATATCGACTGATATACAAGTAGGCTACACGGGAGAAAATTCATAAGGTATAAAGGGGTTTACTTTTTTAGATATTTTTATTAACTAATTTTTTAGCCGAATCCGAAGAATAAGTATATGTCCCAAACTTGTATTATTTATAATGTAAAAGATATAACCTTAAAAATCTTATTCAATTAATGAAAATATCTAAAATATAAATATGCGGTTCATAACATTCATATTGGACTTTTTTTTTTTTGATAACCAGAATGGTTCATCGGATCTTCGACCCGACTATATCCACCTTAGACCCGAGATCACCCTTTGTATATGGACTATTTTGGTGCATAAATCATATCTCTTCCTACCAGTGAAATCGAACCCATGATTTTTGAAAATGACTTTGTTATAAAAAAAAAACGTTTATATCGGACTTTAACAAAACATTCATATTGGAGATTCGACCCATACGCGTCGCTTCAAGCATCAATTCTTAGGGTTTGACCGTGACGAGTTGGATTAAATCGAACCCAAAAATTTTGAGATCGTGATGGTCGCCGAGTCGAGTCGGCGCGCTTTAGAATCTTATTCATATATACATTTACATGTGTATAAAAATATGATTAGTGTCAAGAAACATGCAGATTATTTTAGAAATATTATAATGATATTTATATTTTAGATAATTTATTAGTAAAATTGGGTCTTTTAAAATTACACTTTCTATAATATTGTGATTATGTACAGATTGAATAGAAAAGTGTTGAGAAGAATGTCGAACTTGATGAGCACACACTCGGACCACATGACGAAGAAGAATATAACGGACATTGGAACATAGAAGGAAGCAACGTACGTACATGCATGGGAGGAAGTAAGTGCGCGACGGACATGCATGGACGAAGCGCACACGAACGAAATACAATTTTATAATTTGGGCCAAAGTCATAACATCAAGAAGGCCCAATTGACCATTACATAATACAAGACTTGGGCCTAGAGCCCAAACCTTATTGAAGATGCCAACGTAACAGAGATTCAGAATATCCTCCCTCACGATTACATGCATGCACCACCATGGCTTCCTTTTATCTTCCGTTGATCATGTTTCCTTTATTTGCTTTTACCGTTGTACTACTTTCCTTGCATTGTCTGTATAATTGTCCTTGCTTACGTTTTAATGTTTCACGTGTATATATGAACAATGTGATGGATAAAAGTTGTCTCTTTTTTCTATTAAACTCTTGTTCTTCTTCCTTTGTGATAAATATTATAATGATATTTATATTTTAGATATTTTATTATTAAAATTGGATATTTTAAAATTACACTTTCTATATGTAAATATTGTGATTATGTGCAGTTGAATAGAAAAGAATCTATTTTTTTCTCTCTATTATGGTATCAAAGCATGCAAGTAAATGTGGTTACTAGTTAGTATCTCTCAACTCCATGATTCAACCCTTATACCCAAAAAAAAAAAAAAAAAAACCCATGATTCAACCACTCTCTCGCCTCGGTAAGTCATTGTCGTTGATCCGGATGTATACACACCAAATTTACATTAACATTTATAGAAAAATATAATATTTAAAAATCGTATTTAATTTAAAAATATCTAAAATATAAATATAAAATCAAATATGATTACGATTTCTAAAATATTATTTTGTACATCCTCATGGCCACAGTATAAAAGGGAAAACATCCAATCTTATGTCGGTAAGTCATTGTCGTTGATCCGGATGTATACACACCAAATTTACATTAACATTTATAGAAAAATATAATATTTAAAAATCGTATTTAATTTAAAAATATCTAAAATATAAATATAAAATCAAATATGATTACGATTTCTAAAATATTATTTTGTACATCCTCATGGCCACAGTATAAAAGGGAAAACATCCAATCTTATGTAGAGTCACGTATCAAAAATCACCATGACTAACATCTCTTACGTATCCTTGTTTCTTCTTCTTTCTCTAGTTTCGACGTATCTACTTATTGTTTCCCATGCAGAAAATCCAAAAGACGGTTTTACCCTCGAGTTAATCCATCGTGATTCCCCAAAGTCTCCGTTCTATAACCCTCACCTAACGGCGGCCGAACGGTTCACGGCAGCAGTGAACCGTTCATTGGTCCGTTCACGCCGTTTCAGCCAACTTGGACGTATGGCAGTGTCTTCGGATTTAACCTCGAACGGGATGGGCGCGTATATGATGAAGATCGGAATAGGAACTCCTCCTGTAGAGGTTTTAGGGTATGCGGATACTGGAAGCTCGCTTATATGGACGCAAGGTCAGCCATGCACGAAGTGCTACGAGCAGCCAAACCCTCTTTTCGATCCCAAAGCTTCATCCACTTACATAGGCCTCGGTTGTTCTTCGACCCAATGCAAAGTTCTCTCCTCTATTACGTCTTTTCGACGGCACGTACTCGATAGGAAATCTAGCGACCGAGACGCTAACCATCGGTTCACACACGCTGCTGTCTACAGTAGTCGGGGTCGGCCACGAAAACACCATCGCCACCTTAGGAGGGTCAGGGATCATAGGTCTTGACTATGGCGACGCTTCTCTCATTTCTCGGCTCGGCCCCGTCATCAATGGCGTTTTCTCTTTCTGCTTATCGCCGCCGTTCGATATGAGCAGGCCCAGCCGTATCAAATTCGGTTCCGACGGTGTCGTTTCAGGTCCCTCCGCAGTCTCGACACCGATAACCAGAAAATCCAGCTCAAACGCTTATTTCTTAACGCTCGAAGCGATCAGCGTCGGTGAAACGAGGCTGGAGTTTCTGGGATCGGCTTACGGTGGCGCCAACGAGGGCAATATGATGATTGACTCAGGAACCACATTAACGTTTCTTCCCATAGATTTCTATAACCAAGTGGTGGCTGTGGTTGAAAAGGTAATGCTTTGGTAGATATTTTATTGCTACAACAAACATGCAACTAATTATACATATGTGTGTGTATACATGTATATATATTTCCATATGACCAGGTGGTGAATGCGGAGAAGGTGACGGTGGGGAAGGCCGGTTTCAACTTATGCTACAAAGCGCCGGGAAATGACGTCATCCTGCCGGAGATACAGATGCATTTCAAAGGCGCTGACTTGAAATTGAGCCCTTCAAGCTCCTTCCCGAGGCTTTCGCCGGAGGTTGTGTGTTTGTCTTTCTTCGGATCTGCGGACAATGTGTCGATATACGGGAACGCGGGTCAGGCCGATCTCTTGGTTGGCTATGACCGCAATGCCGGGACCGTCTCTTTCATGCAGCAGCAGTGCAATTAAAAAATGCCTTTTATATTATATACACATGCGTCCATCGCTTGTGGTGGAGTATAATAAGACTGTGTGTGTGTTTCATAATTATTTGATCTTTGACTAAATTCGTGTTGTTTTTGTGGGATTATGGGGCCTATATTTATTTACGGGAGAAAATAAAACAACATTCTTAAAATTTATATAGCGTACTAAAAAAAATGTAAAAAAAAAAAAAGCGATACATAACCTAAAGGTTTGGGCCGGAGGACGTGTGCCGTTAAAACGACCCATTAAATGAATAATACTTGGGCCGAGGACGTGTGCAAATAGGCCCATGAAGCATCTTAGCCGATGCATAAGAACAGTGGGGCCCACCTCTTCCTCTCTCAAGCCTTTATCACCGTGACGTTGCGGTCAATGGATCTAACTCAATGCAACAATTACTAGGATTCTCTCTAAAGCCCAACAGTTTTTGTCTTGATTTCCGGTGGGCCCATGGGCCCAAATGATCAAAAGTTCATCTATTTTTGGGCCGGGTATTTGGTCCCCTGGCATTAACATTTTCTTATGGGCAATTTTTTTCTTTCAATTTGGATTATAATACGGTCATTGTCACTTCGAGCATAAATTCTCATAATCATCTTCAAGTATTGATCTTTCTTTTTTTTTATTAAACTTCTTGAAGCATAATGGATCAAGATCGTTTCTGTAAGAACCAAAATTACATATGCATTCATGAATATATATCCCTATATATATATATATATTCTTAAAATATATTTGGTTAGCGAGTAGGTTCATTTGGTTCGGAATCAGTCGAGATATGCCAAACAATTTCTGTTTTGTCTAAAAATGAATCGAACTGAGTCGAATAGAAAGATTTTACAGTTCTTGGTATGGAGTCAAGTCGATTCGTTCTATACATGTGTATAAGAATATGGTTTATGAGAACCATTTTAGAATATGCTGGTAATATTTATATTTTATTTTATATTTATATTTATATTTTACATATTTTGTTAATTAATTAAGATATTTTAAGGTTATAGGAAAAACAAAATATTTATGTTTATTTGATAATTTGTTAATTAAATATTATGTTTTCTATATGTAAATATATATTCTAAAGGTGTACATGAATAGCAGGAAATCTCCAATTATTTTTTTACTATTCTGGTATCGAATCCTCTGCTATTTTCTGTATTAAAGAATCCCCAATATCTTATTTAATTAATAAAAGATATCTATAATATAAGCATAAAATCAAACAAAATTATCATCTTCTAAAATATTGTTTTGTACACACTCATGGTCACCGTATAAAAGGGGAAACGTGCACTCGTACGTAGAGTCAGATATCAGAAATCACCATGACTAACATCTCTTATGCATCGTTGTTTCTTCTCCTTTCTTTAGTCTCGACGTGTCTGCTTGTTGTTTCCCATGCAGAAAGTCCAAAAGACGGTTTTACCCTCGAGTTAATCCACCGTGACTCACCAAAGTCTCCGTTCTACAACCCCGACCTAACCCCGACCGAACGGTTCGCGGCTGCAGCGAACCGTTCATTGATCCGTTCAAGCCATCATGGACGATTAACGGCGGTATCTTCGGATTTAACGTCGAGCGGAACAGGCGAGTATTTGATGAAGATCGGAATGGGAACTCCTCCGGTGGAAGTTTTAGGGTATGCGGATACTGGAAGCTCGCTTATATGGGCTCAAGGTCAGCCATGCACGAAGTGCTTCGAGCAGTCAAACCCTCTTTTCGATCCCAAAGCCTCATCCACTTACAACATCATCAGTTGTTTATGGACCCAATGCAGCCTTCTCTCCCCCATCACGTCTTGTGAGGGTAACTACGCTTGTATGTACAAACAAACGTACCTCGACGGCTCGTACTCGGCAGGAAATATAGTGACCGAGACTCTAACCATCGGTTCACACACGCTGCTGTCCACGATTGTCGGGGTCGGCCACGAAAACGCCATCGCCACCTTAGGAGGGTCAGGGATCATAGGGCTCGACTATGGCGACGCTTCTCTCATTTCTCAGCTCGGCCCTGTCATCAATGGTGTTTTCTCTTTCTGCTTATCGCCGCCGTTCGATACGAGCAGGCCCAGCCGTATCAAATTCGGTTCCGACGGTGTCGTTTCAGGTCCCTCAGCAGTCTCGACACCGATAACCAAAAAACCTGACTCCAACGCTTATTACTTAACGCTCGAAGCGATCAGCGTCGGTAAAAAGAGGTTGAAGTTTCCGGGCTCGGCGAACGGTGGCGCCACTGAGGGCAATATGATGATTGACGTAGGAACCACGTTGACGTTTCTTCCCATGGATTTCTATAAGCAAGTGGTGGCTGAGCTTGATAAGGTAATGCTTTGGTAGATATTTCGTTGCTACACAAACATGCAACTTATATGTGTGTGTATATACATGTATACATATTTCCACATGACATGACCAGGTGATGAAGGCGGAGAAGGTGGCGGTGATGGCCGGTTTCAACTTATGCTATAAAGTGCCGATATATGTCGTCAACCTGCCGGAGATACAGATGCATTTCAAAGGCGCCGACTTGAAATTGAGCCCGTTGAACTCCTTCCCGAGGATTTCGCCGGGGGTTGTGTGCTTGTCTTTCGTCGGATCTCCGAAGAATGTGTCGATATATGGGAGCGCGGGTCAGGCCGATTTCTTGGTTGGCTATGACCGCAATGCCGGGACCGTCTCTTTCTTACAGCAGGAGTGCAATTAAAACATAGCTTTTTATATTATTATACACATGCGCCTGTGGCTTGTTATAGTAATGCTGCAAAGCGATACAATATATACATGTCCCATTTGATCCATGGGATTACGGGCGTATATTTATTTAGTAGAGAAAATAAAAACAACATTCACAAAACACCGGTTTGCTCAAATCGATCATTTTCAATGCCGGCCGGCTGAAGCATCATGATCTAATTTTTCAGATTAAATACAAATTCCACGCCTAAAACATAATGACGGAGAAATACAAATACAATCTTGTACATTTGGAATATAACGAGGCCAGGTCCATGCCGGTCGGGGCGGCATGCGACTCAGATAGTGGGAGCACGGGGATCACCATTCCGACCCATTCTATCTGGAACACGAAGTGAATCCTTAAGCGCCTTCATAGCAGCCACTGCCAAAAAATACCCAGAGTCTCGTTAGCACCCATATAGATCTAAAGGTAAACAATTCAAACACCCAAATGACTGAGATTATCTCCCAAAGCTTCCGCCGACACCTTCGGCCGCTCATGGCTTCCCGACTGCTTCTACGTAGGGACAACGTAGCAATTCTTCTTGCAAAGGAGGGATGGAACAGGAGAGGCGCGGAGACGACGGCGGTGACACCGCCGGAGTAGAAGCAGTCAGGAAGTCATGAGCGGCCGAAGGTGTCGGGGGAAGCTTCGGGTGATCCACAGTCAATGTAGAGAGGTGTTTGGAATGTAGAGGTTGTATATTTGTAAGAAGGGAATTGCAAGTAACGAATGATAATATGATAATGATAATCACCACTACATACCCTAAAGCAAGTGCCTAATTTTCTTGTTTGGGTTTTCTAACACAACGTTGGACCTACAAACCCCAAACAAGAAATTGCAAAAACTCAGTTCCGTTTGACTTTCCTTGTCTTCTTCTTGGGAGTGCTGTCACTGCATTGAGGACAGAACCAATCATGTTCAGGAACTCGGGCCATTGGAGGATCACAGCAGTCCATGTGTGTTCCGATTCCGCAGCCCCTCGAGTTCTTCTCATCGCCGCATATCAGCATCACCTCTTCTCTGTCACTCCTCCCACAAACCTATTATCACATATCTTCGCAGTTATGATCACTCCATTGATTTGGTATATGACCCAATTTCAAGAACGATATAATAACACATGTTACAGTCATCTGTTTCATAGTTCATGTTGTTTTACCACACAAGCTATATCGTCGCCCTCGGAATGACCTGATGGCGAGGCAACTTCTTCCTCTACAACCTCCTCTTCCGAGCTTCGTTGCAGCTTGTTAAATGACTGTTCTGCCCACTTATGAGTGTTGTAAAGCACATGTTTGTCAAGAGGGTACCCGGGTTTGCATATGTATTCCACGAGGTAATCCGCAAGAACACATGGTATCTCGTGATTCAGAAACTCCTGGATCCAGGCATCAACCCGCGGCATTCCGGGGCTTATGACAGCGAAATCGGTGTCTGAATTCAGGAACCTCCTGTAAGGTGGTGCTGTTGCTAGTATAGTACCATCCCCGGATTTCACTGCACGTTTGAGGGTATCCTGATCCAGCAAAACATGATCGGAGTTCTTCAGGTTACACCAAAGAAGTCTACCCTAGACAAGAAAATGATACAGGAGACTACTTTCTGTATAATATTTTCAGACCCCGGTTGAAAAGGGTTGTCTTTGGGCACATTTGCTCATCCTAAAACAAGCACATAAGAGAACAGTTTCTATCATTTCACGAATGAAAGGAAAAGAACTCTTACCAAAGATGGGACCATGCAGTCACCATATATGACAATGCGCATTCCATAAAAGGCACCATGACCCGTTTTCTCTCTGACAAGCCGCCATTTTCTTGGGGCCTCTAAGTTTATTGCACCGTCCTGACTGAGACCAGTACTGTGCCATTCAAAAGGTTCCTCGGGCAAGAATTTCCCAGCTTGGCTACAAGCAGGTAAATAATCTCCCTTGAGAATCCAACTGCATTAGAGGAGGTGAAAGCAAAGGGAAAGTCAGAAACTTCAAAGGGAAATACTAGACAACGGATTAGCTTCACTAGACATTGTCTCAGTAAATGACAGATCACAAAGAAGAGAATAGCACTGAAGAGTCAAAGAGTGTTAAACAAGTTAAAAAAGAGTATACTGCATAGGTTATTCTCTGGTAATTGTACCTTCCAGATGCAGATGCAGCGAAAAACTTTTCAGTCCGGCGAATCTCTGAAGCGATGAAATGTGTTGCCTGATAAGACCATTGATGAGAATCCCTGCAAGCTTTTCCTTTCAAACGCCTGACTATCTGTTGATATTCCTTTCTCTGAAATCTAGGCCCGCTCACTATAAAACATGCAGACTCCTTTCCTCTGTCGTGCAAGATTTTTCTACTAGCCATCGACTTTGAAGAACTGATCTGCTCAGACTTTTTCTCTGTTTTTGTTAGGGTCTTAGCTGACTTTTCAGTTTCCTTTCTTGCAGGTGGTTTTCCCATGCTCAAACTCTCGTCACCACCAATCTTCCGAGATTTTTTATTCACAGCTACGTTCTCCTTCTCTTCCACAGAGTTATCACCCCTATCATTTTCTCTCACATTGTTTTCTTTTCTAGACCTTTTCGTCTTCTTGATACTAGCTTTTCCCACTTCAGCTGTGGGTAAATCCCGTTTCTTCAAATTGCCGAGGTTAATCAGTTCTCCAGAGGCCTTCTTTCCACGCTTACTTTTGTTCCTATCAATCACTAGTTCTGTAGTATCATCAGGTGCATCCTCATTTGAACCATCATTTAGTTCTGGTTCTGCTGTTCTTATTTCAACCTCTGCATCATTTCCTCTCACAGCTACGTTCTCCTTCTCTTCCACAGAGTTACCACCCCTATCTTTCAACTCAGTATCATTTCCTCTCACATTTTCTTTTCTAGCCCTTTTCGTCTTCTTGATACTAGCTTTCCCCACTTCAGCTGTGGGTGAATCTCGTTTCTTCGAATTGCCGAGATTAATCTGTTCTCCAGAGGCCTTCTTTCCACATTTACTTTTGTTCCTATCATCAGATGCACCCTCATTTGAACCATCATTTGCTTCTGTTTCTGCTGTTCTTACTTCAACCTCTGCATCAGCTCTGCGCTGTCCTTCAGTCTCAACCAGCATATCTTGTTGGTTCACATCAGCATCAAGCTCGTGATTGACTTTCTCTGCAGGAGGATTGGTATCACCATCTGTACAGTCGATTTTCTCAAAAGTGATACCCTTAGAGTCAACTTGTTGTGCTACTTTCGGTGTGGATTCAGAATTAATGGCTGGAACTGAGGTTTCCTTCTGATTGCCATCCTCCAGCATCGGTGTTGCAACTTCTCCTTTGCTTAAGCAATTAGTGCGGTCATTGCTTAACACAGTTTTGCTCAAGTAAAGAGATCCCATTTTTTTACTGCTATTCCTTATCTTGGGTCTTGTGCCTAGGGTCTTTCTGGAAGCAGTTTTCTTCTTAGGCTGCTCAGTGTCTGGCTTGTCGCTCTTTCCAAGATCGTCCAAACCTGACATCGTGTTAGATTTTTCCATTGCCAGTTCAGTCAATGATCTTTCAGGTGTTTTCTTGGCAATAGTCTCAGCTAGCTCGCCCTCTGAAGTCAGGATAGCATATTTTCTATCTACCACATTTGAGCTCAATGACTTGGTAGTTGAATTACTCACAGGCGATTTCTGGGCAACTTCCCCGCCTTCATTTGGACAACTGTTGCTTGACACTGAGATATGGCTTTGTTCTGGCAAGAAGAGACTAGCCGTTAGTACACCAATCGGCTCCCCGCCGCCGCCTACTTTTTGTGATTTTGAGCTACTAGCATATCCACCTGTTGATCTCTTCTGAGGGGACTCTTTTTCATGCAACTTATCAATCTTGCAGGCATCCTCACGGCCACTGGTTCCTTCTGCAGCATAATTTGATTTAGATGCAGAGATATCAGAAGAAGTTATAGCTTTTAAGCCACCGTTATTTGTTCCTGGGGAACTATTTCGGATGCTTGACTCATCCCATTGGTACTTTGAACTCAACTTCATAGCCAAGGATGGAAACCTTTCGGTGCTCTTGGAAATAGATGTCAAGTCATCTTTGCCATCTCTAGACCCAGGTGTCTTGTCAAGTGGATTGAACATTGACATGACCTCTCTAGTCCCAGATGTCTTGTCATGAGAAGTATCCTGGAAAGTGCTTGTTTTCGAACAATCATGTTGCAAAGGAGCCATGGGTGAAAACCTTTCAGTATTCTTGGATCCAGACATCAAGTCATCTTTGACCTCTCTAGACACTGATTTCTTGTCAAATGGATCAGCCAATGCGTCATGGAAAGCATCCTGAAAAGTTCTTGGTTTTCCAGAATCATGTTGCAGAGGAAGACCGGCATCAATAGAGGCCATGGTTTCATGGGGTCTGTCAACCTTTTTAGGAGTTAACCACACGTCTTTGGATGTAATGGTGCTTGAGGAATCAGCCTGTGCACCTGTTTTTGCTTGAACAACCGGTGCATTCAGTTCTACCGATTTAGGCATGCTACCGTCAACTGCAACTATGACCCTGAGACCAAGAGGGCTCTTGTTTGCACGCTTCGTGGAAGCATCTTCTGCTTCATCTTCAGAATCCTTAGCTGAAGCCTCCATCATCTCCAACTCATAGCCACTGCAACCATGTAATAATAAGCTGGGTCAATCTAGTCATTCTAATAGAGCCGCTAAACAAGAGATCACTCAATAAACTCCTAGATCGAATACATAATTTTAGCAATTCAAAATTCAAGTTGATAAGTAACTAAACATAGATATAGTTCACATGCATTTTACCTTATTCCATAATCAGCCTCTGGAAGGAGCTGCCATGCCTTTAAACTGCAAACAAGAAAACATGTTTTTGAAAATCCACATCGGTATCTACATCCATAAATAGAGTTTGTGGTGTATGAGTCTCACCAATCTTCTAACCACCGGTGGTTCACTATTTTAATCCTCTTTATCCTCTTGGCAAGCTCATACTTGTCCCCTGTAAAGAAAAACAAATTCTCTCAAAATATCTGTACCCGAGTCCAGAGACATTACCAATGAAACCACATAGAAAATTGAATTGAAAACAAAAAAGCAAGGGGTGTCAATCAAATGCCCATGAGTGACTCACCCTCAAACTTGTAGCAAATAAGGTGAGTTATTTTGTTAGCAACCAACGGCTTGGAGAATTGTCCACCCATCAAAGCAACCATTGACTGAAAATGATGAAACAAATTTCACAACTATGATAGCATGTGACCATCAGATGAAACAGCAGATTGCATTAACCAACGGATGAACAACAAGGAAAAGGTCAGCCGGCACCAACCATAATGTCATCTCTATCATGACGTTGGTACCCAGTCAAGCATACAATTAAGCTTTCAGCACCGGGAATTCCATTCAGATCTTTTGGGGGTCTGTACATAACCTGTGAAAAGAGAAGATAAGAGAAACACTTTGTTCCATAGTGGAAAGAATTCAAAACGTGGAACCGGAAATTTGAGAAAAAACCCAATATATTGGATAAACCCTTAAACCTAATGAAGGACACACATTTGAACCAATAAAGCAAATCTCAAAGGTTGATAAGTCACAGGTTGTAATTTGTCGCTGAAAAGTACAAAGGAAAGGAAAACACCAAAAGGCAATAGCAGGACATTCCATGAGATGAAATAATACGGAATCACTTGACAGGAACATAAGGCAAAGATTTTGGTTGAAAACTGAGGCACCGAGCTAAATTGCTTCTAACATCTTATATGCGTCTCATGAACATCTAACCTTCAATACCAGAAACAGGAGATCGAGTAAGAACTCACAGAATTCGCATCAACCAGGGCTCCAACGTTGAAGCTGTGATCAACCCAGGAACCCAGAACAACAACTTTCCCGCTATTCCGGGCAGCAACGCATATGGGATCGTCCTAAAAAACAAAATTATCGAGTGATGACACAAAAGTATCTAAGCCTGCATTGCACGAGATAAACTGAGAAGACATAGAGAACACGGACCAAACATGAAACTTACATAAATAAGCTTGTCGACAATGAGGTGAGTGTAGCTCTGACTAAACCGTCCAACGTCGACACCGCCACCAGTTATGAGCTTGGACTGCAACTATAGTAAGATTGAGACGAAATTAGCGACAAACCCATGAAAAATCAAACCAACGTAACTTCAGTCGTCACTAATTATCGAAGCTGATGCGTTGTACCAGCGGTACGTCGCTAAAGATTGGACAGCGAACGTTTCGGAAACCCATAAGGTTGACTAAACCATAACGAGAAAATGATGAAATACCTTGTTTTGATCGACGGGATTGAACCCAACGAGAGCGAAACGGACGCCCAGAAACGGCTTAGGAGGAGAACTCAACTCCATCGTTTTGAATTCGAGAAAATCTCCCGGAGAGTGAATAGAATTGATCGGAAATTGGGATTTCAGGGAGGAGAAATCGGAGAGAAAGATCGACACTTTGACGGATCGAGAAGAGGACTGAACAGAGAAACTCGGAGAGTACACTGCAGGAGCCGCGGGAAGAGCTTCTCATGGAAGATTCGCAAATGGGGCAAACGAGGGAAACTGAAAATGATTTTTTCGTTTTAAAGTTTTTTTAAGAAGGCGAGCGGGAGATGCAAATGGCCCTAATGTTGTTGCCACGTCACCCCGTTCGAAAGCCCACGTGGCAGCCTCTAATAATTATATTCTTTTGAGCCAATTATTATCATCAAATAATAATAATAAGGCGATTGAAATGCACGCAGCACGTGTGCGTGTGGGGGAGATAAGACGACCAAGCTACTCGTTTGTTTTTGGGTCATAAGAGAGGGCTCGGAGTCGTGAGCCTTGTTGGACGGATAAACATCAAAATCGATTGGGCCAGTTTTGGTTTTGGACAACTCGACACCGTTTTCCTTTTTTTCTTTGTTAAAAAAAAATATAGCATTTTTCATATTTTCCATTTATTTTCATGTCGTTTTATAAAAACCTCCAAGTGAGACCAACGACTTGTTTCTTGTGTTGGGTGGAAACCGTACTGTATTGTCACGTCTCTTTCATGTGTCTGTAACATGTGCTCTTTTGCAAGTAAAAATAATCCATGAAAATGGATTTTGTATTTATTCAAAACTTTTATTTGTTACGAAACTGTAACATTGAAATTCCCTGACGGGACATTTTGAGATTTTATTCAAACGGCCTAAAAGATCTTTAATGTTCAAAACGATGCGTTTAGTTTACGTCCACAAACACCGTCCCGACATAAAAATATCTTTTAACATCAACTTCAACAACCATTATTACACTTTAATGACAAATATAATGTATCGCCAATAATTGAGAGTATTTGATACTTATATAATTTGTTTTTTTTTTGTCTAAGCAATGTTTCTAATCGCGAGCAATGATATGAATAAAGAATCAGCTAAACCGGTCATACCGCCCGGTCTGAACCGGTAATCACGATGAATACCCGCCCGGTTAACTAAAACACGTCAGTCTGCTCCGAGAAACATCAGCTTAACGGGAAACAAGAGGACGACGATCAAATGCATATGTTGAGACGCCACGAGTCTACTGAACCGTCTCACCGATTCTCTCCCGGACTTCAACATTCCGGAGAAATCCTGACCGTTCATTGGCTGACCCATCCCTGAGTTCACTCGGTCCCGAGTCACCATGATTGGCCACCAGAGACTGCGCCTCTGCTCCCTCTTCGCCTTCCTTACACGGTTCACTTCTTTCCTTATGACACTCCTCACGGATTTGAGGTAAGAGTTCATGTCGTGGTCACGTTGAATGGTTCCTCCCGACCCGTATGCGGATCTGTCACTGAGGATCTCCAAAGGGTGTGGAGAGTCCAGGAAGATCGTCTGCGCGGATCTTAGCTGTTTTTCGGCAGCTTCAATGTCTGAAATCTCGCCCTTTAGGACATATAGACCGCTTCCGAAAGGAAGGAGATCGTGTCCAGGAGAGAACTTCTCGTCAGGTTGTAGAATCAAGAGCTCGCCCATGGGAACATACAACACGCTCTGCGGAAAGAACAGAAAGTAACCGTGAGTTATCATGCTTTTCATCGAGACTATTGCCCAAGGAGAACACGCAACTGTGCGAAAATGTACCTGCTTGTTAAGACAAGGAAGATTCCGGAAGTTTACATTGACGGCTTTCAGGAACTTGGTGACATGTTCTGGATAACGACAAGAAAACGCCCTCGGAACAATGTCTCGGTGCATCGTGATAGCCTGAACGTAGCTCTTAGGCAATCCGAGTTTACTGAGAAGACGATCACCTCCACACATTATGAACGGTGCACCAAACGTTATAACGGGAAGTAGGGAAGCCGGTGGTACTTCTCCTCGAATCAGCAACATGAGGTTCAGTAAAAGTGACAAGCTTCCGCCCAAAGAATGGCCGGTGAAACGGAATTTAGAAAGGTTTCCATGGGATTTGAAATGAGCTCGGACTTCAGGTAGCATTTGCTCATACATCCCTTTTGCAGCCTCATATATGCCTCTGTGAACGAGGATGTCAAACCCCTAAGACAGAATCAGAACAGATTTTCAGAAAAAGAGACTCGTAAACTCGTACTAATTCCAGAAACTGCAGTAACCATAAAAGACATTACCTCGAACTCGATAGGCTCAAACAACAAGTTTGCTTGCCACGAGGCAAATGATTCAGAACCCTACAAGATTTTTACGTTTCCATTAGCTCAGAGAACATGAAGAAAAAAGAAACAGGATATAGAAACCGTCCATATCCTTACCTGAATCACAAAGAATCTCGTGTGACTGTGATCATCGTCGCATATAAACCAGTCACAGGGCGACGAATGGGTTGATTTCAAATCATCTGCAACTGCCTGTTTCACGTCTTCCTCGGCAGCCACAACGGCAGTCACTGAGTTGGTTGTGGTCATTAGAGAAGCAACATCATGATCCAGCATATCCATATTTCCGAATCTTAGAGCATTTTCACTGTTCAGGGTTGAACTCTTTCTGTCTGAAGATTTGAAAGGGAGAATGCCCTCTGTCTGAAGCTTCAAGTACGATGCTGCAGCAGCAACATTGATTCTGTAACCTGTGTTGTCTTGTTCTTTGGATTCAGCTAATTCCTCCCGTGGCGCGGTCTTGTCTTGTTGGGTCTCAGCTGAAACCTCCATTTTCTCAGCCGAGGAAGTTACAAATCTCAGGCCGTGATACTTCAAGAGATTCGCCGGCTGTGTAAATAATAAAAACGATGAAGAATTAGCAGATGAAATTCCTCCTTGGATTGTCAAAGCGCTACCAAAAATCACGATGCAGAGACAAAAACGCCAAGTCCTCGGAATTGATTGAAACCCTTGCATCGAGAAATCCAAACAAAGTTCAAGAATTTGGTTGTGAAAATCGAATCTTTAGATCTAAACTACGCAAATCATGTCACTATTAGAGGTTTAGGGTCATAGACTGTGAGATAAACCTTAGAAATCTTCCAAACCCAAACTGTCTGAGGATTAAAAGATTCTAATCTCTAACCTATTTCCGGAACCCAATCCAAAGATCTAATGGAGAAGAAACAAACCCACGACGGAAAAAGGTTGAATAAGCCGACGAGGTACGAGGAGTAAATGGAATTTACAAAGTACTAACCTTGATTTTCGATACTGAATAAGCCAAGCTACCCAAATACGACAACTGGGCATAGAGTTTCGCTTCGTTTAACGAAACCCTCTTCAGCAATCTCGAAAACGATTCTCTATCAAACTGAAATTTCTTCTCTTTATCGTCATCATCATCATCATCAATTGAACATACATCGCATCCATCACCATCATCAACGCACGATACGGCGTCGTCTACTCCCTCTTCTTGTTCTTCCTCCTCCTCTACCTCGTCGCCGTTGTTCTTCTTCTCGTCGTCCCTCCACGTAGAATTGACGTGCAGGATCTTCAAAACCCAATTCCCGTTTTGCCCTTCTGGCTCCACCGACGAGTCGCTATCTCCCTCCTCCTCCACGATAGGCCTCCTCGAATCTCCGGAATCCAGTAAAACGGCGCCATCGACAGCCAGCCCGCTCCGTCGCCGAGGCTTGGCTCCTCCTCCGGACCAGAAAGGCGTCAATGGGTACTTGAACGAGAACCCAAATGGCCCTCTTTTTTGCGACTGTGCCGCCGGTTTATCCGTTGTAGATTGCCCGACGGCGCTCGCTCGGATCTCGACCACTCCGCCGCCGCCGCCAGCCGCCATGATTGGTGGAACGACGCCGTGTATGCCCGTATTCAAACACAAAGTATCCATCTTTTTTACGTTTCTTCCTTCAGCAGTCTTCTGGGTCCTTCAAAATAATGTTCTTCACGATAAAAAAAGAAAAGAAAAAAAAATCTTTGAATCAATGAATTGTATTTGGACAGAAAATTTAGAACACAAAAAAGAGAAAATTTAGAAGAAAAAATCTTGTTGGCCGCACAGATCGCCAAGGCAACCTTTTTAAATGTCTTATTTTTTGCCCCTTCTTTAATGGAAGAACAAAAGAGAGAAACGGGACTTTTTCTCTTTTTAGTATTTTTAATATATATTTTAATCGATCGAGAGAACGAATAAATAAATAAATAAAAATCAAATTCACCACCCCACGTATACCATCGTTGTCGCGTGGATCGATATACGTATACCAAAGAGCAGGGAGTTTATCCATGGAATGCGTGTAACCCCACGCGGGACCCACCGCACCGCTTGGGGTGGGAACAAATTCCATATGACTCTTATGACTAAATGGGAGTTTCTTCGAATGATATTTAAATTAATATTTTTTTTAAAAAAAGAATAAATGTATTACTTTTTTGCATCGATAATTTCGGAGGAGGAATGCCACGTCGGATGTTTTATTCCGTCTTTAGATAAAAACATGTGACGTGTCCCAAGGATTTTGTGTTGTCGCCTACTAGATATTTGTCCTCTTTCCCCGTTTTGTCGGAAGAAGGCTCACGCGCTTGCGTCTCTCTCTTTATAAAACCCAAGTGATTTTCCATTCTCATATCCAATCCCATGACCGAGTTAATATCACAATTACCGCATCTAACTATCTTATAGTTTTTATTATTATCTCACCATGCATCACCTATTTCAAATTTGCATATAAAATATTTTTTGTGAAAATTTACCAAACTAAACATTTGGCTCAATTACAACTTTCAAAAGATAAAAAAAAATCTATGTAAATATTTGCTATCTTAAATGAAAATTCGTAAAAGAGTTTTGTTTTTTTCCATTTTTTACTGGTTCAACCATCCAAAATTGGATACATATAAACTTTTTTTGTTTATTTTTCTTCAACAATAAAGTATGTTATATTGTTTTGATATGAAAGAGACAGATACACGGATGAAGATTAGGCGAGGATCGTTCTAATTTGAATAGTCGTGCAGCTACTACCGAAGGTAGAATTACTTGGAATCGAGCTGGCCAATCATCTGAGGGTTGCGATTGAACATATAAAAAGTTTTGAGGGCAAATAAGTGATTCTTCCAATGATCGGTAGTTAAAATGTAAAAAAGATTTTTTCAATTTGGGCCCGATTTGGATAGAGAAGGCCTAAAAGTACAGGTTCTTTAGGATTTTGGGTTTTCAGACCGCAGGCCCAGTGATCTGAACATACTGTGGAGCATCAATAAATTTATATATGGACTAAAATTGTCAATGAAAATTTTGTTTTCTTTTAATGTTTTTGTAGTTTTTAAATTAATTATTTTTTTATATTTTTATTTTAAAGATATTTTACTGACTTTTTATGTGTAAATTTTTAATTACGTTACTTCTTATAATTACGATTATGAAAAAATATGATTTTTATTCGGGAAAGAAAAACTGACCCGCTAGACACCCTATGGAGGGTTCAGGCCCTCAAATATAAACCCAAAATCTTACCGGGTCGAGCCGGTCCGGTCCGTCCATTTTACACACATACCGAGAACCGTCGACTTGGCCCGAAAAAGGAGGGCGGTGACCAAATGCATATGATGAGACGGCACGAGTCTATTGAACCGTGCCACCGATTCTCTCCCAGCCTTCACCATCCCAGAGAAATCCTGACCGTTCATCTGCTGCCTTATCCCCGAGTTGACTCGGTCGCGAAACACCAGGATTGGCCACCAGAGACTGCGTCTCTGCTCTCTCTTCGCCTTCCTCACACGGTTCACTTCTTTCCTTATGACTCTCTTCAAGGATTTGAGGTAAGAGTTCATGTCGTGGTCACGGTGGACGGTTCCTCGCGACCCGTATGCGGATTTGTCGCTGAGGATCTCCAGGGGGTGTGGAGTGTTTAGGAAGACCATTTGTGCGGATCTTAGCTGTTCCTCCGCGATTTCCGTGTCCGAAAACTCGCTCTTTAGGACATATAGACCGCTTCCAGGAGGGAGGAGGTCGTGTCCGGGAGAGAACTTCTCGTCCGGTTGTAGAATCAAGAACTCGCCCGTCGGGACATACAACACGCTCTACGAAAAGAACATAGCGTGACCGCGAAGTTATCATGTTTCGAGGGAGAAGACAATTACGCGAAAATGTACCTGTTTGTTAAGGCAAGGAAGATTCCGGAAGTTTCCATTGACGGCTTTCATGAGCTTAGTGACATGTTCTGGAATGCTACAAGAAAACACCCTCGGAACAATGTCTCGGTGCAGTGTGATAGCCTGAACGTAGCTCTTAGGCAGCCCGAGTTTACCGAGAAGACGATCACCTCCACACATTATGAACGGTGCACCGAACGTTATAACGGGGAGTAGGGAAGCCGGCGGTACTTCTCCTCGAATAAACAACATGAGGTTCAGTAAAAGCGACAAGCTTCCGCCCAAAGAATGGCCGGTGAAACGGAATTTAGAACGGTTTCCATGGGATTTGAAATGAGCTCGGATGTCGGGTAACATTTGCTCATACATCCCTTTCGCGGCCTCGTATATGCCCCTGTGGACGAGGACGTCAAACCCCTAAGGCAGAATCAGAACAGATTTTTCAGAAAAAAAGGACTCGTAAACTCGTACTAATTCCACAAACTGCAGCGAGGATATAAGGCATTACCTCGAATTCGATAGGCTCAATCAGTAAGTTTGCCTGCCACGAGGCCAACGATTCAGAACCCTACAAGATTTTTTACAATTCCTTTAGCTCAGAGGACGGAGGAAAAAGGAAACGGTATATAGAAACCGTCCATATCCTTACCTGAATCACGAAGAATCTCGTGTGACTGTGATCATCGTCGCATATAAACCAGTCACAGGGCGACGAATGGTTTGATTTCAAATCATCTGCAACTGCATGTTTCACGTCTTCCTCGGCAGCCACAACGGCAGTCACTGAGTTGGTTGTGGTCATTAGAGAAGCTACACCATGATCCAGTAGATCCATATTTCCCAAACTTTGAGCATTTTCACTGTTTAGGGTTGAACTCTTTCTGTCTGAAGATTTCAAAGGGAGAATGCCCTTTGTCTGAGTCTTCAAGTACGATGCTGCAGCAGCAACATTGATTCTGTAACCTGTGTTGTCCTGTTCGTTGGATTCAGCGTCTTCCTCCCTTGACGCAGCCTTGTCTTGTTGGGTCTCAGCTGAAACCTCCATTTTCTCAGTTTTCAGTGCAACTCCTCTTTTCTCAACCGATGAAGTTACAAATCTCAGGCCGTGATACTTCAAGAGATTCGCCGGCTGTGTAAATAACAAAAACGATGAAGAGGTTAACAGATGATGAAATTCCTCCTTTTTATCGTCAAAGCCCTAAACCCTAAATCACTATGCAGAGACAAAAGCACAAAGTCCTCGGAACAAGAAAACTAAAAAAAGTTCAAGACTTTGGTTGGGAAAAAATCGGATCTTTAGTCCTAAACTTCGTTAGTATTATTACGTAAGAGGTTTAGGGTCATAAACCTTAGAAAAAGTTGGATATGTCGCCAAGGTACGAGGAATGAACGGAATTTACAAAGTACCAACCTTGATTTTCGAGATTGAATAAGCCAAGTTACCCAAATACGACAACTGGGCATAGAGTTTCGCTTCGTTTAAGGAAACCGTTTTCAGCAATCTCGAAAACGATTCTCTATCAAACTGAAATTTATTCTCATCATCGTCGTCGTCGTCATCATCATCATCATCACTTGAGCATTCATTACATCCCTCATCATCGACGCACGTTAAGGCGCCGTCTATTTCCTCTTCTTGTTCTTCCTCATCGACGTTGTTTTTCTTCTCGCCGTCCTTCCACGTAGACTGGACGTGCATCATCTTCAAAACCCAATTCCATTTTTGTTCCTCTGCCTCCACCGACGCGTTGTTCTTCCCCTTCCCGTCCACGTCAGGCCTCCCAGAGTCACCGGAATCCGCCAAAACGGCGTCGTCGACAGCCAGCCCGCTCCGCTGTCGGGCTTCGGACCATAAAGGCGTCAATGGGTACTTGAACGAGAACCTCAATGGCCCTGTTTTTTGGGACGGTGTCGCCGGTTTATCCGTCGTGGATTGCCCGACGGAGCTTGCTCGGATCTCGAACACTCCGCCGCAACCGCTAGACCCGATGATTGGCGGAACGACGCCGTGTATGCCCGTATTCAAACACAAAGTATCCATCTTCTTATGTTTCCTCCTTCAGCAATGTCTTTTGGGTTCTTAACAATAATGTTCTTCAAGGGAAAATAAATTTTTTAAAAACAAAAAATTTGAATCGATGGATTTTCTTTTCGACGAAAGGTTTAGAGTAGAGAAGAGGGAAAATATATAAGAAAACAACTTGTTAGCCGTACAGATCGCCAAGGCAACCTTTTAAATGTGTTATTTTTGCCCCTTTCTAAATGAAAATAAAAGAAAGAAGCAGGACCTTATCTCGTTTTAGTCTTGACCAAATTAATATAAATGTTAATCTAAGCGGTTTTCCATTTTCACATCCAATCCCATAAACGAGTCAATGTCATAATTACTGCATCTACCTATCAAATAGATTGCAAATTTGGCAGAACATGCATGTTATAGTTATTTTTTAATTATATGGAGGAAGATCAGATTCATGCATCTATGATATACGAATCCAAATTAATATATGTCTCAATATATTAATATATAAACTATGCATCCGTGATATTACATCTTTTTAGTTTTGACCAAATTAATGACATATAGTCTAAGTGGTTTTCCATTTTCCATATCCAATCCCATGATTATGAACATGTGAAAACTTTTGACCGCAAATAAGTGATGCTTCTGATGATCGGTCGGGGATTAAAAAAATGAAAAAAGTAAAATTGAAATTTCCAATGTCGGCCCGATTTGGATTAGATAGGCCCAATGGGCCTTGAACGATCGATGAACCCAATGAGCCTTTGCTTTGCTTATATATACGAGAAGTAATAAAATCCGAATTATACAAACTAAGGTGAACCTGCCAACAACATCCAGAGACGTACATAGGTATATAAGTTTGGATTACATTTGGACTCTGGGCTGCGGCAGTGATGCTGAGCTTATGTTGAAGAGACTGGGCTCAGGGTTTTGGCAAGCCCATTGACCGTACTGTAGCCTTTGGAGCTGAACCCTAAGCAACCAAACAAACCCTGCCTGTACGGAAGGTAGGTCCGTTTCTTCATCTCCTCCGCCTGAGCTCGATTCGTCGTGTAATGCAGCTCGTGCGCCGACACCTGCACCCCCCGTTTCGCCGCCGGAGACTTCCTAGGTTGTTTGCTTTCCTTCTTCTTCTCTCTCTGCTTCGGTTTCTGCTTGTCGATCTCCTTGGCATTATTGGTGTTTCCAGAGAGTTTCTTCTCTTTGGATGGAGAAAACACCACGGAGGACCAGAACTTCTCTTTCTCGTTGTTTCTCCCTTCGCTTTTGCTTCTGTGAAGGAACTCCTTCAGGGATATCCATTTCTTCGAGTTTCTCCCGGAAGAGGATGACCGTGACGAAGAAGAAGAGGCTAAAGACGACGGCGTCGTTCCACCTCCCGGCGCCATATCATCGTTTTCCGGCATTGTCTCCTTCCGGTCTCTGACGCTGTGATTCTCCTCTTCTGGCCTCTGCAACGCAGCGCTACGAAATGGTGACAGAGATCGGGCCGTTCTGTGCAGAGATCTGCTCTGAAGCTTTAGATCTCTACCTCGCTCGATCGACTCGCCATCATTGTCGCCTTCGGTATCCGCCAGTGGAGCCAAGATCTGCTGCCTCTCCAAGTGAGACGATAACTTCATCGGCCGAATATGACCATTGAGGAACAGCTCGTCGGCCGAGCTCATGGATCCGATGGTGAAATCTCCGCTCTCGGAGAACCGAGATGAGAACTCGAATTCGAACTCGAACAGCGACGAAGCTGCCACTCGCTGCGGCTCCGGAGGACACGTGGCTGAAGGAGAGGAGGTCAGCGCGTAGTGCATGGGGCTCGCCGGAGCGCTGAAGAAGCATCCTCCGGATATCACCGCTGCTGCATGTGGTGATCCGCACTCGGGGCTGGAAGGTGCGCTGACGAACGGCGTGGAGCATGCGGAGGAAGAGAATTCGAGATCGTCGCTGTGACTTGGCGAATCTGGTTGAAGTAGGTCACCACCATCGCTAGGGTTTTGGAGGTTGACCATCGGGAAAGAAGAAGATATAGCTTCTGCAACACGCAATTAATTATTGTTGGCAGCGTAGATTGAGCGAGGGGGAAGCTAACATATGAGAAGCGGCAGATAGAATAAAAAAAATAGTTGCATGCTCTGGTTTTGATTTATAATGTCAATCAATAGAGCTCTCTCTCCATCCGAGTTCTCGAGAAAACGACCAAACTGCCACTGCTACCGAGCCAGAGGGTGAGGGGTAAAAATGGTAAACGCCGAGGATGGCAATTGGGTAAATAGAAGGGGAAGATGAGGGTACAGTTGAAGCTAAAAACCCCAAATCACTCTGCAACCGCCTGGGGCACTGCACGTGATGTCAGTGCGGGTACAACGAAGAGACGTGCTCGCACGTGCCTGGCTCGTTTTGCTACGGATGACGCCCTGATATTGTGTGGGCCTTATTGGGCCGACGGATAGATAAAATGGGCCGAAGTGGCAGGTGGTCAACATAGAGATATGAAGCCCAAAATCTTTCCCTCGTATTTGTTTCGGCTGTCTTTGTAATTGTAAGTGAAAAATATTTATCCTCACTTTATTATGGATATGATTAGTGAGTATCCATCCATAGGCTGCATAGGTGAGAAACACGAGGACTACACGAGAGTGGTGCATAAAAATCCTTAACTACAGTATTATGACATGAATAGAGCTATTATCACATCAAATCAAATTGCGGCAGAGAAAAGATTGGACCCACTTATTACACATGGTCTTGTCACTTTATTCCCAAAAAAATCTCCATCATAGATTATTCAAGTCGTACATTTTCTTTGAACGGGATCCTTTCAAGCAGAGGTTTTAAAAAGCTTTTGACACGTGGAACCGTGTCATTGGAGGTTAAGTCCGAGGGGTACACGGAGTCGGGACTCGGGTTGCCGTTGCAATTTTCTCCCGTTCGCATCTCGTTCCCCAACAAAAGAAAAAAGAAAAAAGAAAAAAGAAAAAATCGGATTCGCTCTGGTGGTTCCCACTCAGGCATTGATACAAACACTTGGCTTACGTCTTCTTCAAACAATAGTCTGCATTTAGATCGACGATTTGCAGAAGAGGCGGTGAAGAAATTGAGAGGATGAAGTACGTGCTGGTGACCGGAGGAGTGGTGAGCGGACTCGGCAAAGGAGTTACTGCCAGTAGTATCGGCGTCGTGCTCAAAGCGTGCGGTCTACAAGTTACTTCCATTAAAATCGGTGACGATCTCTTATCTGGTGTTTTTTTTGTTCCATTGATCTGCTCGTTTTCTTGTTTACGACTGTTTTGATGTAATATCGGAATTAAAGTGGCTGATAAGCGGCGAATTTCTCGATTGAGTTAGCGAATTGCAGTTGTTGCTCCGGATTCAGAACCGATTGAGATCTAAGCCTTCTCAGTTCATGATACCCTTCTCTGTTTGACGATCAGATATGTTTTGGACATTCCTGGTCTGGTTAGAATTTTAGGACCATTGTCGATGGATTCGTGTAACCTTTTGCTTACCAGAAATGGTTCTAGTTGGAATTCTACACGGATTTCCATCTAAAATTATTTTTGTTTCCTTTGTATCGACTTTCTTAGGGTTTTTTTTTTGCAACAGGCCTTTGTATTATTCGTGCATGCATCTTGTAATATACCTAGCATTACAGAAGTTTCATTTAAATTCTAGGGGCTGTTGATTCTATGATGTTCTTTTCAGGTTTGGGAGGTGCTTTAATTGATATTCTCAATGCTGTTTACTGAATTTTGATTTTGGTGAATTTTCTCCTCGCATCTCTGCAGACCCGTATTTAAACACCGATGCTGGTACCATGTCCCCCTTTGAGCATGGAGAGGTTTTCGTACTTGATGATGGTGGAGAGGTTTCTTCAATGCTCTTTCTTGTTCTTTACATTTGTGCATAAAGCATTGGAATGCTTCATAGTAGTGTATAAACAAACTGGTTGTTTTTGTATCCTCTGCCTTCTTTCCGAAGGTTGATTTAGATTTGGGAAACTACGAGAGATTTCTGGACTTGACACTGACCAAAGATAATAACATAACTACCGGGAAGATATATCAGGTAGTTCATTTTTTGATGAAATATAGCAGTAAATTTCTTTTGTTGCAAGGTCAACTAGTTCATGTACATGATTAATGTTTATAACTTTGTCTTTAGTCTGTTCTTGAGAAGGAAAGAAGAGGGGACTACCTTGGGAAGACTGTTCAGGTACTGATTGGTGTATGAATTGGTCAGCCGTGCTTGTATGTGTGGTTAATTCGGAACTTACAGTTTCCTGCTTAAATGAATCTTAGGTTGTTCCACACATTACAGACGCAATTAAGGATTGGATTGCCTCAGTCTCTCTAATTCCTGTTGATGGAAAGGAAAGCCCGCCTGATATTTGTGTTATTGAGTTGGGAGGGACTGTTGGTAATAACATTTTAGTGTCATACAGCTTCTAGCTGGTGCCTCTCTATTGGTATAATGTTGAAAATTCATGTTTATTTTCGCATTTCACAGGTGACATAGAATCCATGCCATTTATCGAGGCCTTGAGACAATTATCATTTTCTGTTGGTAAGCATGTGAATCTTATCCCTCTTTTGGAAACAAAGCTTTCCCATGTGAGTGACATTCTTGTAAGAGGATCTTTCTCTATATTATAATTCATTGCTTAAAGTCACTTGGCAAGCCTTCAAAATTCAGGGTCAGGCATGCTTTCTTCAGTAGTTGATTATATCGGTTCTTGTTTACATTGATTCCGCTTTCTTCCCCAGGACAAGAAAATTTCTGCCTCATTCATGTGAGCCTGATTCCTGTTTTGGGTGTTGTTGGGGAGCAGGTAGGTTGCCGTATTTAGATAAATGCTCAAACTTTTGAAATCTTTGTTATCTCGTTTTAAAATCTTTGTTATCTCATTAGATAAATCTTTATTATCTCATTAGATCGAACTTTGTTTCTCCTCTTTCATGCAGAAAACAAAGCCAACCCAGCACAGTGTCCGAGAACTAAGAGCTTTGGGCTTGACCCCTCACCTTTTGGCATGTCGCTCTGCTCAGGTATCGTGCAAAGCATGTCTTGAAGACATGATTCACATTTTAGATCATTATTTGTTTGCACATTAGTATCCTATATGTCTTCTATGCTGCCATTGGAGCTCCTCGTTGTCATAGTTGAAGCAACACACTGAATTCTCGCAAATATGGATTTTTCTATTCTTAAAATTCAACTGTATCCTGCATATCTTACAATGGATTGAGTTGCATTTAGGAAGTATTCTCAGTTTTAGTTGGTCACTTTTAATTGTTATTATTTTGCCGCCGAGTTTGACCCCTCTTATGTGTTTGCAGCCATTACTGGACACGACAAAGGCAAAACTATCTCAATTCTGCCATGTGCCGGTAGATCTCTCGTGCAGTTTGCTTCATGAATTTTTATTTGGTGTATATGTTAGTTGCAACTGTGATCTTATACCACTTTGTGCTTTCTTACAGGCTGCTAATATTCTGAATATCCATGATGTCCCAAACATTTGGCATATTCCTCTTCTACTCCGGGTATGTTCTAGCATCTTTTGACTCTTAAAAGCAATCACAGAAGAAAATTGCAATTTGAACAGTCTTGTTTTCTTATGTGCATTCTTGTCGCAGAACCAAAACGCGCATCTCTCGATTCTCAAACAATTAAATCTACTCAGGTTAGTCTCTATATGGATTCTGTTCAAGTTGTCTAATGTAAACTTATATTCTCAACCCTTTAAAGTCCAATATGCTGCATCTTTTTTTCCATGCTGGAGGTCGTCAAAGTATTTTTGTTTGGCATGATGCTATAAGAACGCTCCTGTGCCATATTAAGGCCTTGGATTTTTTAAATGGCGTGTAGATTTTTGTTGCTTACAATTTGTGAGTCTTTTTCAGCACTGCTTCACCACCTGCTCTGGATAGCTGGACCAACATGGCCGAGACTTTTGATAATCTAACAAATTCAGTAAGTACTTGCATGCTTGTGGAGTAACATAAGTAACACGTTGTGGAGCATATATTTCTCTTATTTAATGTAGCTTGCTTTCTGTCAGTGCAGGTCAAAATTGCGATGGTTGGGAAGTACGTTGGCCTAACAGATTCCTACCTATCTGTTGTTAAGGTACACTAAGAGTTTCATTCTTTATCTGCCAAGATGATTGTTTTCCGTACATGAGATTGGCTCTTTCAAATTTCTTATTTGGAGATGAAGACTTTGCTTTGTTTTATTGCATAGGGTTTCTGCGACTGGTATCTGGCTCTCTTATTCATATATCTGCTTCTGTTTAGGCCCTTTTGCATGCATGCATTGCATGTTCATTAAAGCCACAAGTAGAATGGATTGCAGCTTCAGATCTTGAAGATGAAAGCGAAAAATCGGTAAAAATTACTGGTTTTCTTTGTTTTGAAACTTTCTGCATTCTTTGTCTGTACTACATGCAACTTCTCCGTTGTAGTAATACTTTACTTTCTGCTCGCAGACTCCAGAAGCACATGCTGCTGCTTGGAAAACCTTGAAGGTAAGATTCTCACTGCTTCTACAATAGCTGCTCCGGATTGCACAGAAAATATTATAACCTGATTCTGGACACAGCTTACCTTATTAAAATGGCAACCCTTATCACCAGTGTATATGAAACCTTGTTGCACTGCACGTGAAATAATGCTTGGAACTTTACAGCATAACCTTTACGTACCTCCTTGGTCTATGGGGTCTTTTCAATTTCTTTAGAGGGTTCCAATGCACATCTAATTCTCTGATTGATGCTAACTTAACAACAAAAGCTCTCTCTGCATATATATTTGGCGTAAAGGTTTTTTTTTCCCAAAACATTTAGAGGTCTTAATGTTTCTAGAAAAAAAGCCATGCCCGATAACCATGCAGAATCTCTTCATTTAGAAAGTTTAAACTTTTTGCAGAATGCAGAGTGCATCCTGGTTCCTGGTGGTTTTGGAGATCGTGGTGTGAGTGGAATGATTTTAGCCGCAAATTATGCAAGAGAGAACAATGTCCCTTATCTAGGGATTTGCTTGGGCATGCAGATAGCAATAATAGAGTTTGCTAGATCTGTGAGTAAGACAGACTTCTACAAAGTTTGAAAATTCTATCTTTCTCTACCTGATATTAACCCGAGCCCTCTGACTTTTGTTTTAGGTTTTGGGTCAGGAAAGAGCAAATAGCACTGAATTCGACTCTCAGACACCTGATCCTGTTGTTATATTTATGCCGGAAGTATGTAATGCCAACTGAAAGCCGCATTTAACTTTATTCAGAGGCTTATGCCTGAAGCCCATAATATCCTCGTTTTCTTTTACCGCAGGGCTCAAGGACTCATATGGGAAGCACGATGAGATTAGGATCTCGTCGGACACTCTTACAGACTCGCGACTGTCTCACTTCTAAATTGTGCGTAATTGCTTGATTTTATTTTTGTCTCTCTTACTCTTCTTCAGCACATACAAATGGTGAAATCTTTTTTCTGCCTTTTACAGATACGGTAATACAGACTATGTGGATGAACGACATCGCCATCGTTACGAGGTTTAATTATTTGATTCTATTGGTCTGGAAAACATTTTCTTTAGGGGGGGGGGGTATCATTATTATGACACCGGAGCACTCGATGCTGCAGGTGAACCCAGACGTGGTGAAGGTACTTGAAGAAGCAGGTCTAAAACTTGTAGGGAAGGATGAAACCGGAAAACGAGTCGAGGTAAGAGCCATATCTTGCTAGAAGAACCGTATACATTATTTTCTTCAGGTGGAATGCGATCCAATGTGTAAGAAACAGGTTATGGAGCTTCCGACGCATCCATTCTATGTCGGGGTGCAATTTCATCCGGAATTCAAATCCAGACCCACAAGGCCTTCACCTCCATTTCTAGGCAAGTTTTTTTTTATAAAAAAATAATCTCCCGTTTGAAACAACAACAGAAGGGAATTCCTTCTTGTCAGATCCAAAGCTTATAAAAATTAACCACCTTTTTATATTTATAAAAAAAAAATATGGCAGGGTTTATAATGGCTGCAACGGGGCAGCTAGAGGAGCATTTGAGTATTGACCAGAACGGTTCCCCTTCAAAGTCCTCTGTGCATTTTGAACAGTGTACGCAATAATACCCCTCTCTCGTCGTCTTTCCCTTTTTCTCCTTCCTTCGCATTCTCTCCTTTTTTCATATATTTCGGATACTAAGATATTCATACACATGGGGATAGTATAGTCAGATATGGGCACCCATGTCCTCTCTTCTCCATGTTCGGTCTTTTTACATCGTTTTTTTTTTTGTGAATAATGGGGGTTCATTTGATTCTTCATTAGTACATCACACATATTGTATTGTGTTTTTTTAGTTCATATAAATATACAGTATAATTTTCTAATGTCACCTAAACCTTCCACATTTTAGAGTCCGAACCTTTCCAATATAATCAAGAACGATATATATATATATATATGTATATGTATATGTGTGGAATAGTAACAATAAATGGCCGACAAAGATGCCCGACATCGTCGTACTGTATACGCATGATTTTTCCATTTTTTAGTTGAGCAGCTTAGACTTTTTCAGGTGATGCGCCGGGCTACACGATATTGGTACTATGTTAGCATACGTCCAAATCATTTTTTTCCACAGAAAGAGTAAAGATGAATGAATAACAAAAGGTTGTGTTTTTTTTTATTTGTTTATATAAATATATGTATATATATAGGGGGAAAGAAATCAAACTCCACAAAATTGAAAGTATGAAAAAAGTAAAAATGAAAAAAAAAATTGAGCACTCTTGATTATCTACAGAAAAACGCCGGAGGGGAAGTCTCCTTACACCGATGTTCGCCCATCGGAATTGGATTCTTGATACTGCAAATAAGAGATCTGCCTCTGCAACTTGATCTGTTCATAGAAATTAGCAATGAACTCCTCAGCCCTCGCATTAATCCCATTTTCTTCCTCCTCCTTCGCGCAGATATCGGGATTTTTGTCACAACGGTCGTCGTCGTAGCCGTAGGACACGGCGGCGGCGGCATCATCATCATCGTGGAAATCGTAATCAAAGTCGATATCGTGAGGGGAAATGCAAGGGAGGAGGAACCTCATGGAAGAGGGGCGGTGCATCTTGACGTGGAAGATTGGGGTTTCGTCGAAGGAAAGCTCCCTTTCTCCGTAACGGGAGAGATAGTCATCGCGACCACGATGATGATGGTGGGACAAAGCTCTGAGAAACTTGGGGACTAAGCCACGAAGCTCAACCAACGTCCATCTCTTGAAAACACCTCCCTTTCTCGCCCATAGAAGTGCCATCCTCAATATCCCCCATGCCCTTTTGCTGCTGCCGTTTTTCTTCTTCCCCATTTCCATATATATATATATATATATGGTTTTGCAATATGTATATATATATAAGTATATGTTGGGTACTCCTTTTGGAGATGAAAACACAATTAAAGTTGGAAACTTTAGAGATGGGTTCTCGATGAGCAACAAAAGTCTTTTCTTGTCTGTTTTTTTTTTTTTTTTTTTTTTTTTTTTTTTTTGGGGTTTGCTTGGAGGTGTGCGCTTGTTTATATATACACACAAAGCAAATAGCCTTTTGCTTGCTGTTTGCAGTTTGGGAAACGCGGAGAGATATTATTTTACGGTTTTCTCCACAAGATTTTTCTGTACGTTTCGTTTAGCTTTATATATATAAGACTTTCATCTGGATGTTTAATAAATGAGGTATTTACCATTTAAAAATATGCCATAAATCGTTTTTAATCTTTCTGAAGAATAAAACAAAGAAATAATTGCCGATTTGTCTTTATAATTAAAGATGGAAATTCATGTGAATTAAGTTGGAGAGAGAGGGAGAGAGTGGGCTGTCACGGCTGTACGCGGCCATGATCTGAGCTGGCCTTATATGTAATTCCTCGTTTTATTTTATTTATTTATTTATTTATTATCAAACTCTTTTGTTTGCTTATGCTCTATTTTATATATTTACCTGTATTCGGCTACAAACAATAGAAAAAAAAAACACAATAATTTCCAGCTTTTGAGCCTCCTTACCTCTTATTATTAGGATAAAAAAAATTCCCAGATCATTCATTCGCTATATATATATATATATTCCACAAACATATATAGAGGACTAGATATAAGACATGAATATAGAGCTCTATGATGCATGGGTCCAAAAGATGGGAATAAGATCATACCATGTCATTATATGCATTTATCTCTTAATGTTGAAAATTCATGATGTAAGGTATATTGCATTATTTATCATTAAATGAAAGATATGATTATTAATTTTAGCACTCCGTCTTCATTTGATAAAATAAGTTTAGTTTCTATGCAAATATTGATTTGAAAAACAAATTTACCAAAAAAAAAACATTTTTTTAAAAGACTTTTGTTTTGATGAGATAAAAGGTGCCACAGAATTCATGTTAGAGGACATTACATGGAAAATACCAAATGTGAAAAGGACAGATGTGTCACATTGACTAATCTAAGATGATAATTATAAAGAAATCGGACCGACCATCACCAAATTAAGAATATAATCACACAAACTTGTCCAGCAATTAATGTTAGAAATTCAAAGGAAAAAAAATCACAATTAGGTTTAAAAAATCATAATTAATGTAAGAATTCCAAGAAAAAAACTTGTTCTATCTGTTATTTATTTCCACACTAATTGCATTACCAAAGTGTTGATTCTTTTGCTAATGAAATACCGATCTTTTTTTGGGTAATCGAGTATCCTGGATCAAAGTCCAAACTAATCATGGGATCGACAAGTGATTTGGAATATACTCTCTATCTCTAAACTTTAAGTTCGAATTCGTTTTGAGTACAGATGATATATTAATACATTCGTAAAAATAAAATATTATAATACTTTTTGATATACTAATATACCCAATCATTTTGAGTCAATATCTAAATTATTTTGTATAATTAAGACCGATCATTAGACTTAAATATTAAGAGATAATTAAAAGGATTATTCAGAAGCTTCCTTTTTATAGACAAATAAGAATTATAAAAGCAGAAATCTAATAATATTAAGCTCATCAGGGAAGGTTGGTTGAGGTCTCATTCAATCTTTGCTTTTTTTTTTGGTGAATTTTTTTTTTCATTCAATCTTTGTTGTTGCGGCTGTCCCAGTTATTTAAGTTCCCCCCAAACCACTTATGTTAGATGTCTTGATATTGGATTTGAGGGGGGAAAACTAACTTTTTTTGCGTGAATTTAATAATGATTGGTAATTTGAATTTCTGGTGATCTTCTTATTAATTAACTAAAATTTTAATTAATTATAAATAACCACGGCCAAAATCAAGTAAATCGATATATATATATATATGGCGGGAAAACTATATCGTTCGTTGAATCAAAAGATGTTTACAAAATTGAGAAAACAAATTAAAAAAAATAACCCGAACCCAAATCAAAATAGGAATGGTAACCCTAAATTAGGAATAATAAAAGAGTAAATACAGTTGTTACCACAAAAATCTACTTCCCACCCATGCATGTCGTTCATCATCGAGGCATACATTCATAGCTACATACATTCGGCATATGCGAAGCGTATGAAACAATATTTCGGTGGAATATTTAAATAAATCGCACATAAACAAAATGCCACATACACATGTGCATATTTGATCAGACCAATTGAAGAAATATTATATATATATATATGTGTGTGTGTGTGTGTGTGTTTATTTTATTTACGTGAAATGCATGAGGAAATCAATAACAGGTTGGAACTTAGTGCAGATTGCATGGAACCATGTTTTGTGCCAAATCTTCGTGCAAGTAACTTAGGGTTTCTTCAATTATCTATCTGTTCTGTCCATTAATTGTTAATTTTTAAAAATATTTTCTCATCTTATTGTAATTTGGCCGCTCGCGATTTTAATGTGTAAAATTCAATTTTATACATTATGCCTTTCATATTTTAATATTTTTTATATATAAACACACACAAATATATTATATATATATAATAATAATTGAAATAATAATAATAATAATAATAATAATAATAATAATAACAATTGGTTTTCTATTGATTTCATAGAAGTACACACACAAATCTTTAATTTATTTTTCAACAATGATATATATATATATATGTACATATGTTGAAAAATAGAACAGAATATTCCTATAACGATATTAGGGAGTTTTTTAAAAAACAAAAATAAATGAAATGAAGTAATTAACAATAAAAAAGGCAGTAATTAACTCATGGTTTAGGCTGTCTTTCGCTCTTAATTACTTCCCTTCCCGTAACTATCGCCGAAAGCGCGCAACTGTCTTCATTCATATGACGTAAAACTCTCGAGAGACAGCTCGACTTTCACACCCTAAACAAATATATTCTTATACCTTTGACCCCTAAACTTTTAAAAATTACATTTACAGCCCTAGACAAAACTCACCATCATGCGTTACGTATAAATAGAGGCATCGGTCACAGCCTTTTCCTCCTTGGGATCTCCTTCCGAATCTTTCCCCCCTGCTCCTTGCAGGGCTCCCCTTCCATCCCCTCCTCTCTTTCTGTCTTCTCCGATACCAAATCTCCGCCATGGAAATAGCAGAATATCAGAATGATGAGGATCAGGACACGGCGAAGGAGAAGAAACGATCACGTGGAATGCACATGATCAGGGTCGTCATGTTTATGCTCCGTCGCCGGAGAAGAAAACCCTTCAAACCTGGGTTTTGGCGGCGGCTGGTGCAATCCGTACGCCATCTGAACAAAGATCCGGCCTGTGTTACGATAATTCCGTCGTCTGATATTACGATGCTGGCATTGCCGGGGAAGAAAGCGACGGGGGAGGAGGAGGAGGTGGCGGCTAAGGATGGTGGTGATGTCATCGAGCAGTTGTCGGAGACGTTGGAGGGTTTCACGGTTCCATCTTCGTCTTCCTCCGGCATTTCGGGATACGGATCTGCAATGTCCCTCCGTGACATGGAATATCCAGATTATTATGATGAGTATGATAACGACGACGACGATGATGATGATGATGGCCGTGGTGGTTATGGTGTGGGGGGAGGGGATGATATGATCGACGTGAAAGCGGAGGAATTCATTGCCAAATTCTATGCGCAGATGAGGATGCAAAACCAGGCATACACTGAGCGCTGCAAAGCCAAACGGGTCTAGAGAGTCATCATCATGCATATACATACACATACAAATATACGTACACATTCACATATACAAACACATCCACATACATATATATATATATATATGTGCATGTATGCACGTAGGCATACATGTACGTGTCCCGTGTGTTAAGAGAGTCCATTATATCTGGGGAGGAAGGTTTGTTCTTTTTAATTGTGGGTCTTTGTTTTTTTTTTTGGTCTCGGGTTTGTCTGTCTTTAAATTTCTTTTTTTTTTCTTTTGAATAAATTATGGGGCGAAAAAAAAAAACACCAATGAAACGTGGGAAAGGAGATTATTTAGAAAATCTTATTTTGTTTTTGTGATTCTTTATATAATATTTTGGTCTTCAAGTAGGTTTTGTTGCCGTCATGGTTGTATCTGTATCGTTTTCTCTTTCGGTGAATTTCATTTTCAATTCGTCTTAAAATTTCAGTAGAATTCGAAGGGATGGTTTCTAACGTGTATATATATATACACCAAAAAAGTATATACTATACACACATATATGTATATGTAAATCTACAACTGTGGTGCCATTCCTTGAAGACATAGAAACATCCAAATGTTGTGAAATAGATGATTCCCTTCCACAATATCACTTTTGAATTTTGTGGGTGCCATTTCTGTACCAAACCAGACACATTCGCTCCTTTAATTGCATGCATATCCGACTATATATATATATATATGATTATTATTATTATACTTCATATTTGTATAACATGAAATTTTGCATTAGACTTCACTTGCCCTTCCAAAGATTCCATATGAAATTAACTAACTTAAAAATCGTTCTACCTTCGTTTTTATAGGAAATTAATATTACAACAAAAAGATAGATGCAAACGAAGAGAAGCTAATTTGTGAACCGAACAACTACAATATTTAATACGTGGTATTGGTAATAATAATACAATACATAACCCATATGCACCCAGTGATAGAATATGTTCAAAGGTTCGGTGAACTATCGAATTATAAAAAGATATGCAATACATCGGCAAGGCCGGAAATACATAAGCCTCTGTTTTTTTCTTCCATCATCCATTTCTTTAATCAATACATATATAAGCTTAATTAATCGCCATCGTCATTATCATGGGCGACGGAGACCCGGCTGAGCCGACTCGGTTCAACCGTTTTAACGTCGCCGGTTCTTACCTTTTGGTCCCCAAACCGACGGCCATGGGATGAACCTGAACCGGACAAAGCTCTATACGCGAGTACTCTTCCAAACCGGTATTTCCCGGTTTGATCGTCGGTTTTCTCCTCGCCATTTTCTTCTTGACCTCGTCCCTTCTCTTCTCGGATTTCTCCTGCTTTCATTTTCGGCAACATATTTTTTATGAAAGAAGAGATCGATGAGAAATTAAGAAACACACTCAAAAACTATATATGGACATATATATATATATATATGTATATATGGTGGATATGTTATATATATACGGAAAAAAGTGAAAAGAGAAGAGAATTGATTTACCAAATGAGAAGTAAATGTGAAACTTTAATTGGAAGAAAGTGCGGCCTCATCATTGTTCATTGCATTATTATTATTATAAATCTACTGAGCATTGCATTCCTTTTTCTATTGTGTTTGGACTCATTCTCTTACGTACAAGTTAAGTTTTTGTTACCTTTTCTAGTAATTTTTATTTTTTATTTTGTTTAATTACATTCAAGTTAAAGAACTATATATTCTAATGGCCAAAATATCAACGTAAAATAAAAGGAGATTTCCAATATCCAAGAGTCTATTACAAAGCTATTTAGATTTTTTTTTCTCTAGCTAGGATATATTTTTTAAGGATTTCATGTACATCACTTGCTCTTAGAGATCAATAACTTTGAGCTCTAACATTTTTACATAAATATATTTTGTTTTCGTTACAAAATAAAAATCAGAAAAAAATATATAAGGAATGGCCTTTTGCACATTATTTTGCTTTTATTTTTTGGGGTAGGGCAAATGCTTTTGGTTTTTATTATTATTATTTTTCCTCTTTTTGAGAGATTTTGGAGAGCGTTGCGTGGTATTGACTATTGAGACAATCTTAAGTTGGTGTTCTCTCTCTCACCTGTCTACGATTATGAGTTTTAATTCCATTTTTAAATCGACCATACAAAAATTTATTATAATATTATAAATAAATTTTCCAATATCACCATATATATGATCTATTTATTCGTTTACTAGTGTATAATTTTCACATCGAAGCCCGAGAATTTATTCGGTCTTGCTTATTAATTTGGATATGTAAAATAATATTTGAAAGGAAAAAAAAATAAAAAATGGCTTGTTCTTCCGTTTAAAATGGACTAAAATTGGGCTTTTCTAGTTGGGCTTAAGGCCTCATAGAATAATCTTTTTCTTTAATTAAATTAGAAAATATGACAAAATATCATTGGTGGTGTGTTTTATTATTGCAAGGAAAAGGTGGGAGACGTTAAGATTCAAATTCAAAATACGTGGCAATTTCGTTATTAACATCGAGTCCAGGCCCACTCTCGTAGTACTACTTCTTTGAAGGCCTTGAATCGTACCTCCCGAGTGCAGCCTATATATATAGTCGCATCACCCCCGAAACCCTTGTTCTTACTCTTTGTCTGTCTTCTACTCGCAGTCATTCGTCGTCTCTGTCGGTCACCGTCAATCTCCGGTCGTTTGATCTCGCCCGAAATCCTTTGTTGATCGGTGAAGCCATGTCTCTCAGACCGAGCGCGAGGACGGAGGTTCGCCGGAACCGGTACAAGGTCGCGGTCGACGCGGACGAGGGTCGCCGGAGACGGGAGGATAACATGGTTGAGATCCGGAAGAACAAGAGGGAGGAGAACTTGCAGAAGAAGCGGCGTGAGGGGCTCACGGCGGCGCAGCAGCGGCAAGAGCTCCCGTCGTCTCTTTCTTCGGAAAATAAAGTATGCGCTCTGCGCTTCTCTATTGAATTTTTCATGTTTTACTGCTTTATTGTCTAGTTTTGGAGTCGATTTGAATCGTTTACAAGGTAGATTCAATCAAATCGTTATCTCCTCCTACTTATGTTCCCTTCCATTGGAACATCTTGATCCGAGGGAAACATATGGTTTTATTATTGATTGATTGACATGAATGGAGAACCTCCTGCTTATTCAGATTATTATACGGAATGTAGCTTAGCAGTACAAGATATGTTTGGAGGTTCTAGGGTTTAGATCTCAATTGGAACCATGAAACCCTCGGTGTAGTCAGTCAGCATGTACACCATATCTATCTTTCAAGTATCATATCGGAGACAGAATATTCTAAATTCCAGTAGCGCATATGTCGAGTGACATCCATGCTCTGGGTTTTGAGCATCCTTTTTTTATTTTAATTCTATGAGGTTTTGAACATATTGCAGCTAGAAAATCTGCCGACCTTGGTCGCTGCAGTTTGGTCTGAAGATCGGAATGGACAACTGCAAGCTACAACTCATATCCGGAAATTGCTTTCAATAGGTCAGGGTCTCATGTGACACCCCTTATGTGGCATTTAGAGTTTGGCCCGGGTATTCCTCAAACTTTGTCGTTTATTGCAGAGCGCAATCCGCCAATCAATGAAGTGATACAATCTGGTGTTGTTCCTCGTATCGTGCAGTTTCTTTCAGGGGATGACTTCCCCCAACTTCAGGTTGGTTGTTGCTGCATTTTGAATTCATGAATTCGTTCCCTTCTTTCATTTTTTATGTGTTATTTGATTTGCTTTTGCTGTTGGTTGTGCCTCAGTTTGAGGCTGCATGGGCGCTCACCAATATTGCTTCAGGGACATCAGAGAATACCAAGTCCATTATGGATAACGGGGCTGTCCCATTATTCGTCAAGCTTCTCGGTTCTCCCAGTGACGATGTCAGGGAACAGGTATATTTCTGATCTCCGTTTTGTTATAAGATCGTCTTCATAGATCCATAAGAAATTTTTGGATATGAGTTAATTATAGTTGATGAAGCTGTTACCGTTCTAAAGTTTGTTTCTTTTTTGTTTCCATCGACTGTAGGCTGTTTGGGCATTAGGAAACGTTGCTGGGGACTCGCCAAAATGCCGTGATCTTGTCCTGAACTATGGGGCCATGATACCTCTTCTGTCACAGTTTAATGAGCATTCGAAACTTTCAATGCTGAGAAATGCCACATGGACGTTATCAAACTTCTGCAGAGGAAAGCCTCAGCCGTCATTTGAGCAGGTTTGCATGCATGAGAGACTATCACTATGGGCAAATACTAGTGCAATCTAAGTGCTTTTCCTTTACGTAAGCAATCCATTCTTATGTGTTCTCCTGACATGTTGTTGAGCAGACAAAACCGGCTTTACCAGTTCTCGAGCGCCTTGTCCATTCACAAGATGAAGAAGTTTTGACGGACGCATGCTGGGCTCTGTCATACCTCTCAGATGGTACAAATGACAAGATACAAGCTGTTATCGATGCAGGCGTTGTCCCCCGACTCATTGAACTCTTAACGTGAGGATCTGATATTATTATTTCCATGCACAATATTTGCTTCCATTTCTTGTTTAACATCTGAAATCGGTCTCTTCTTCCTCTGCTAGTCATCAATCGCCAACAGTGGTGATCCCTGCTCTTCGCACGGTTGGAAACATCGTTACCGGAGATGATATGCAGACCCAGGTAACTATCAAAGCATACATGTACAATGGTATGAATGACTCGATTGCTTCATCTGATCAAATAATCATCCTGTCTGTTTTTTTCCCCTTCTCATTCTCAGGCGGTTCTTGATAATCAAGTCCTTCCTTACCTCGTGAACCTCCTGACAAATAACTACAAGAAGAGTATAAAGAAAGAAACTTGCTGGACTATCTCAAACATTACAGCAGGCAATGCAAATCAGATACAAGTGAGTACAGGGAATCGATAATGGTTCTATAAAACAAGAGTTGGCTTACAAATCCTAAGACATTGCCTCTTTGAAATTACGCAGGCGGTAATTCAAGCTGGCATTATTCCGCCTCTTCTCCAGTTGCTCCAAAGCGCCGAATTCGAGATAAAGAAGGAAGCCGCATGGGCGATATCCAATGCCACATCTGGTGGAGCCCATGAGCAAATCAAGTAAAACACACACACTACTCTCCTCATAACTCTTTTTTCTAATCTAAAAATAAGCCGAAAAAAAAAACAGAATCATGAAAAAGGGTATCATTTGTAGGTATCTTGTGAGCCAAGGAAGCATCAAACCAATGTGTGATCTGTTAGTTTGTCCGGATCCGAGGATCATAACGGTATGCTTGGAGGGTCTAGACAACATACTGAAAGTGGGAGAAGCAGAGAGGAACTTAGGGAACACAGGGGAAGATAATATTTACGCGCAAATGATAGAAGAAGCAGATGGGTTGGAGAAGATAGAGAATTTGCAGAGCCATGACAACAACGACATATACGAGAAGGCCGTGAAAATGCTGGAGACTTACTGGTCGGATGACGCTAGCGAGGAGAACAATGATGGCGGTGATGGTTTCGATTTTGGTAACAGTTCTGATGTCCCTCCCGGTGGATTCAACTTCGGTTGAAAGGTAACCAATCCGGTTGCAGGACAAAGAACAGGACACCCCTCGAGACACCAAACAGGGATGGTGTCGTAAAATCGCGGAAAGCTGGGAAATTTCGATCTGATTTTTTTTTTGGAACTCGTTTTTTGTATGACCCAGTCCGTCGCCAATTTCGATTGTTGGGAATCGGGGGCAATTTTTAATTTAATTTAATTACGTTTCTGTTTTTGTGATTTTAGAAAATTGGAATATGAAAAATCTAAATAAAATAATACAGAAAAGGGAGAGAGTGTGGAGAGGAGTCATGGAGGATCCAGCAGCTTCCAAGCCTTTCCAATGGAACACGTTAAAAAACGACACGTAGTTGCCAATGATCCTCGTCTTTGTGACGTGTCACAAAAATGCGATTATTGAAACTCAGAAGCCAACCATTACCCTAGGGGATAGGGGTGGGCACGGGTCGGATACCCGGGAAAATCGAGAGATTTGGATTCGGATCCGGGAGGCTCGGGTATTTAACTATGAGATTTGTATCCGGGATTTGGTATTTACGAGTATCCGGGGTACGGGTATCCGGAATAATAGTCGGGTACTCGCGGATATCCGGATCCGGATTTATTTAAGAAAAACAACAATATTCATATATAAAATTTTTAAAACATGAAGATATATTTATAAAAATTGATGAATTATGATAAAATATATAAGACAAAAGAGATAATAAGAGACAAATAATAATAAATTTAATTTTTTTGAATTAATATTAAAAAAATATGAAATTATTTCATCTAAAATAATTGTATTTTATAAAAATGTTATATAAATATAAGATATAATTATTTATAATCATAATACGCGGGTACCCGCGGATATCCGGTTTTAAAAATTCTATTATCCGGATTTGGATCCGGATTCACGGGTATTGAAAAATAAGGATTTGGATTCGGGGATTTCAGTTCGGACAGAGGTAAATGACGCAGTCTCGATTAGCGTTTGCGTTTGCGTTTGCGTCGCATTTGCGTTTCCCTCACCGTAGCTGTCCACCTCTCACGCAATGGGTGGCGTCTCGGTCGTCGGCCGCCGGGGGGCG